ATTCCTTAGAGAATAACTGTCAGCTTAAGAGCGCAGAAACTGCGTGAACTTAAGATTACGATTCGGCACTGAAGCGAAGTCGTTGGAGTTTACAAGATCAGGTGCTCGAGTTTCTCTTACCGTTTCTTATATTCCCCTTTATAGGAGGACAATGAAACAACGAAGGGTTGTTCCACTTCGCACCTACTTTCATTTGTAACACAAGTGACTAAAATATTTGGTTCTTTATTTTCAAATATATAAATAAGTTTTATAATGTAAATTTTTAATATATTGTGAATATCGATCTCTATTTTACAATTACAATTGAAGATACTTGAGAAATTATATTTTAACCTCTTGTATTTTCCATTCTTCATACCTTTGTCTCCATTTTTACATCGATGGCATTTTTCAGGTATCCTCTGCCGTTTCTATCCTTCTCGTCTTGCCAGCTTGTTTATCGAACATTTATCTTTTTTCCCTCAAGCTATGTTTAATAAAGTCACGCGGCATATACGTGCCACGGTTGAATGGGAAAACCGCGCGGCGCAGCGTTATTCAGTGTCTGCCTCTTTAGCTGCCAAAACCCTTTGTGTACCCGACACGTTACGAGGGCTTAATTTTCGCACGTGGTACGCGTCGCCCATTGACCCAATAAAGCCGGACTTAAACTTTAACGGCTGCCATCGTAAACCGCGGTCGTTTCGATGTGCATAAACTGCTACATACCGGACGCGGTTTAGCATGGCGGCTGATACAGACGAAATGCAAGATCGACAGGAATTCGGCTATCGTCCTCATTTCGTCATTCCGGTTAATCGCGATGGATTATGGCAAACTACACAGGAAACCACCGCGCGAAATAGTGTCAGCTTTCGAGCTGTCCATTGTAAGATAATTATTATTGCATTGTACTCTCCTGATGATTAAATTAAAGATAAGAGAATCGTATGGAAAGTCTAAAATTGCACGAGTCAAAATAATTGAGGTAGGTGTCTTTTAAAATGCGAAATTTATTATTATACAATTATCAGAGGCAATTTATTTTTGAGGAGGCGGAGGAACGTCAAACGCGTCCCGTTTCCGGGCACCACTACGCGCAAAACCGACGTATGCAGAGAGCTGTTCGGCGCAGATGACACCATGATGCGACCGACGAATTTTTGTATGCTCCCGGTACTATCCTGCGGCTTGTATTCACACTACACACGCGATTCTCGCCATTTCGTCGTTCTGCAAATATATACAACGAACATTATCGCGTCGCAACGAGAGCCATTCGGCGGTTTGTCGCCTCAATAACGGCGCAGTTATACCGATGATGGTTGTTTAATGATTTGCAATCGGTCTGCACTGACGCGTTTCTTTCTCTGTCTCTCTCTGTCTGTTCCCCCCCCTCTCTCTCTCTCTCTCTCGCCGTTATATCTCGCATTCGAATGCCATCGTGTCCCTGTTTTCGCAATCGCGGCTTTCGCGCTTCTTCGGATCGATGCCAGTTCGCTCTTGATTTAAAGCGAATTAATACTGTCGGTTGTATTGCGTCGTTTATTTTGATTCGCGTAAAAAAGCAATCTCGGCAAACAGAAACGGCATATCGAATGTAGCAAATAACAATGTGCACACGTTACGTTGAATTCGTAAAATTACTTCCACGAATGTAAAGTTATGCTCAAAGTATTTACTATAAAATTATTTCTGCAGTTTATTTCAAGTTTTATGCCTTGGAAATTTGTTCAACTAAAAATTACACATGTTATTCCGGAGATTTACTGAAATTCACCTCGTCAATCGTTATTAAATCGCGCATAAGAACAGATATAGATTTTATACATGTACAACAAATTTCAGCCGTTTAATAATGTCGCCATATATTCGTGCGTTCTACCTTTTTCACGTACACGCGTTCACGAAATCCTCTCTCCCGTGGGTCGTATACAGGTTTGCTTAACGGTCCGTATAAAGTTTACGGGCGTTCCGGCTGAAACAACGGGAGAAATTTCTTTCGAAGAGATTCATTCTAAGCGAGAGATGGGAATCCCGTGTCGTCTTAAAGGTCCGCGCGCGATCCGGCTCGTACGATTTGCACCGTTGTGAGCGGTCAATTACTTGCTATTACCGTCAAATCTTAATCAGCCGGCGTCGCCTAGTGAGGAAGGGTACAATAAAGAAACAGAAGATACGTACAAAAAAAAAGAGCGTTGCAAATTCGAAACTGTACGAAGAAACGGAGAACGCTCGCGATAAAAAGCCTCGGAGACGTATTAGCAGATTCCAAGAAAAAGAGTTTCGCTGGATTTTTCTGCGCTAAAAGGATTTTACGGCGGCACCCAACGGGTCGCACGGTGTCGATCCTGGAATAAAAGATGAACCGGTAGTTTGCGGGCGCGCTTTAAAGTTCTCATCAAGTGATCGAGGTCTGTGGGACACTTCTGTGTCGCATTGTTCCCTTTGTTTGGTGTTTACGCTGTTGCACCGGGACTACAGTGCGGCGTGCCCGGCGGCGTCGGTGACGTCGGCGACTACGGGGCGAACTACAGGATAGGAAGGGGAAGGGGGAAAAGCAAGGGGAACGAAGGGATGAGGTCGCCGGTGCGCCGGGGAGAGAAGCTTTCATTAAGCTTGCATTGTCCCAGCACCGCGCTATTATAGCCGAGTGAATAACTTCGAGCCATCCTGGCCATCCTGGGTAGTCATGCCGCCCTCCTCCCCCTTGTTGTCCCCTCTCTCTTTCTCTTCTTCCTTCTTCCTACGTCGCTTCGTCTTCCGTTTTATCTTGCTTCACTTTTTCATTTTTTTTCCATCTCTCTCTCTCTACACCACTCTCTCGCGTCCCGCTTCCGATATTCCGCGCGTTCTCTACCGCATACCGCGACCCCTCTCGTCACGCTTTCCCGTGGCACGTCTCTCTCTTCCTCCTCTCGCGCAATTTGACGCATCTCCAATTTATTCCGCGACCTCGGTGGCTGTCCCGTTAGTCGCAGCGTGATATTAACGAGCCGAACGGCGATATAACGGTAACGGCAAATCGCTCGAGCGGCGCCGCCGCAGCGCCATCGAGCGACCCCGCTCGCCGGGGCGCCAACAGTGCGCGTGGATATTTCCACCATTCGTCGTTGGCGTCGGGGATGGTAGTGGGGCCTTTTAACGAATACGACGCTCGGCGCCCGTAAAATCTTGACTGTCCCGTTCGTTAATTACTCGCCACGACCTCGTCGTGTCTATACCTCGTTTGTTCAACGACAATTTTGAAAACCATCCCTTCTCGCCGCTCCCCTCTAGGTCGTTCTCTGCCAACCTCGTTGGCCGTTCGTCCGTTGCCCTATATACACACCGGCAGAACATGCCCGAGCGAGACCCGTCATCCGCTTCCACGTTGGTCGTTAATGACACGGAAGGGAAGCCCGTACTGAACGCAGAAGAGAAAGAGGGACGATTGCCGGAGGTAACGGGAGGTACACGTCACCTCCGACGATTACATTTGATTTCTAGAGGCACTTGATGTGTTCAATTACTATCTCTCGGGATTTACTTCTTCATTATAACGAGCATTCTGATAACCAGCCCTCACCCTTCTCGCCCCCCCCCCCCTTTCTCTCTCTTCTCATTTCCTTGCGCTATATCTATTTAGTGATGATGTGAAGTTTTGTCGCTGCGCATAATGTCGCTCCGGGGCGGAAAGCTGGTTTGTATTCGGGAAGTAAACTCCGCGCGAAAAGCAGGTCACAATGAACTCCCACAGTGGAAATAAGCATGCTACGGATTACCTACAAACAAACCATTTAAGCAGATATTTATAATGTAAAAAGTATTTTTACATTACTGAAAAGTTGAGTAAATATAGTAGAGCACTATTGATCCGGAAATGTTATTTAATTTAACCACAGAAGGAACGATATCTTTCTCTGTATCCAGGCTGCATTTGGAACAATAATTAAATGTACAATAATATTATCGAAGAATGTTTTACTCATAAGCGTAATCCGCGTAATAAGTATAGACTGCGCATTCGCTATTTTCTGATGTTTAGCATCTGTGGCTTCGTTAGAAAGAGAATGCAATACGTGTAAAAAAGCATCTCTCTTTAACCATGTTATTCTCACTACCGATATTTATTCTCTCTCTCTCCCCCCCCCCCCCTCTCTACACAAAAATGTTTTACTTTTACATTCATGTCATTTCTTGATTGAATTTATTAAAATATTAATTAACATCTTTTTTAACAATATATTGCATATATAATGCATAATAATATATAAATATTACATATGTAATACATTTTTTACTTTTCATTTCTTATTTTCTATTTTTCTCTCGGAAAAAGCAATGATCGAAAGTGATAAAGATGGAAGTTAACTGAAAGACTCTTTTATTCGCTATTGTGAATTGTATCCTTGGTAATCTATCTTCTTAAAGTCTACTATTTTTATTCGAAAATTGGCTATTTTCGTGCACGTAAGATTCAATCTGCAGTTGGCCGATATCTCCGTACGTAGAATCTCCGTCGTACAAAGAATGACTTTCGAATGCGTAGAAATCAGATTACCTCGGCCAATACATTTTAAGATTACCGGAAATCTTATTCGGAAATTGCGAAGTACCGAGCTCGCGGACTTGCTATCGTCTGCAAAATAAGATTGCCATTCGCAATTGCTGTGACCTTCTGAATTGCTTATTAAACGAGACTGTTTTCATTTGGAATTTCGTTATAGAATTTATTTAGACAAATATTACGCGAAAGTATAGCAAGCCGAAAACAGAACGAATTTTGTATTTCTTCCAATATCTACGATATCGTATTTCTTTTCAAGATATTTTGAGATTACGTTTGAAAATAGAATACTGAAGGCGAGATAGAATTATATCTTACATCATTTTAAATTGTTTCCTTTGCGGTGTAAGAATAGCTTGATAATATCGTTGATTTCTTCTCCCATTTTTTTTTTTTGATATTTCTCCGTGATATCACGGAGTACATCGACGTCGTGGCATTGACACTAATTGCTTAATACCTGTTTCAGATACTCCATCGTTCGCGATAACGCGTTTACCTGGTTTTGGAATTCCGATCGTCGAGGGGATGTCTGTCAGCCTGAAATGCGAGGTAGACAGCAATCCAGCCAGTACTCCAATTTGGCAGCGCGGTAAGTGGCGAACGAAAAAAAAGGAATGGAATTCTCGCGCGCAGCGTTTCGGCTGATTTCCCGTTCGGGCCCGGAAGGTCGTCTAATTTATTAATGTAATCCATTTTAGAAACGTCTCGCGCAAAATAATCCTGTTAACTAGTAATATAACATGTTATGGTTTTCGATTTTTAATTCGTACGTTACGCAGAATAGAAGGAACTATGTTCCATTTGACTTATTTTTTTACTTACTTATTTCCTTAGCAGAAAATATTTTGTTTGATATTTTTTAATATACTTCCTTATTTACTTATTTCTTTATTTCTGCTTAGTTTTTTATTATTTTATACAAAAAGTCTTTCTTTAGATCGGTGCGATCCAATGAGATTCGTTATTTATACTGAATCATTCGCAGAAATATTATGTACTAATGATTACAATCAATATAAAAATATTTATAATTTACTTGCAAATTTTTAGAAAAGAATACTTTTAAGGAAATATAATAATTAACATACGAATAAAAAGTTAGTAAATTAATCGTTGATATCTTCATTTTGCTTTATCATTATAACGTCACTCGTTTTTTTACACAAATTTTTCGTGAGCTCAAGCATCAGATAATTATAATAACTATATTATTTGACTTATATTATTACATTATATTTTATCTTTCGTTTAAGTTCACCATTTAAGTGGCGTGAATATTAACTCTTCTCGGCAATAGCGTTATCCGTATTTTCTACGGCCGGTAAATTTTGGCGATTTAAATACGTCCAGTAATGAGATTTTTAACGAGTTATTGCCGCTACAAACAGCCCCTTATTCAAAGCGAATTTCAACCTAATAATTTACATCGTTCGTAAACAAACACGTTCTAGCTAAGCGCAAACTATTGATTAATTTCAAATAGATTATACCTTGATAAAATATGAAGATATTACTAGAGCTTTCATGAATTCTCGAAAATAACATGTGCCACATATATTAAGATAGATAAATAATATTATCTTTGGACAAATATTATTTTTCTTTCAGTCCTAAGCCAGCTTTATTTTAATAAAATCAAAATCTGAGCATTGGTTATAATTATATTCAAGATTGACTGCGATAAAGTTATAAAATAATACTCAATAATCTTTCATGAGATTTTCAGTAAATCAATTACGAACTAATTGAATAAAGAAAATTCTGAAAGTATAGCAACAGAAGTGGAAGAAGCTTGGAAAGAAATTCAACCTCTTTAATCATCATTCTTTTTAACATTACTTCGAATATTTACAACTTAGAAAGGGGTGCTTTCAGCGCGCCCTGTATATGCACATACACACGTATTCGGCAGGCAGTGTTGTGGCAGACGGCGAAGCGCACGTGCATTATTTCGTGCAACTCCCCATTCCCTGCAGCTAGGAAACGCGTCACGTTGTAGGTAGACACGTTAGCGCGGGCACGTGTAACGGCAACGTGAGCATAATTTAATCACTGTAAACAGGCACTTGGATGGGGTGGAATCTGATGCACATGACCCTCGGCGTAATATCGGCGTCGTAATAACTCTAAAGGAGATGTAAACTTATCTGTAAACGCGTTGCGTCAATGCACTAAGCACAAGAGTAACACGGCTGTAATCGAATTATCGAGTCACCTCTCGCGTTGGACCTTTCCAAACAGAAAGGCTCTTACGTATTGATTTGTGTAAAATGTAGCTTTACATCGTCGCAGTAGGTGTGTCACGGCAGTTAATAACGGGGTTATAAAAATTACTTACTCGATTAAATTTGTAACATTATGGGAGGAAATTTGGTTCTTCTTCATTTAAAATGAATGAATCAACAATGCAATTGCGGTATTGAAATTGAAAGATTAATTGTGTAGGCAATAGAGAACGCGTGAGCTCTGACAATTATATACGAATCACTAGTTATGTACATATTATAATATTATAATTATCGCATAGCGCGCAAATAATGTTTCAAAGTAATAATATTGTAAACGGCATTCTTAATGTGCTTTGGAAAATGCACCTTCCGCATAGCGCGCGAGATTCTCGCTATTTTCATGCAAAATCCGCTGTAACGCAACAATATCGCGGACTCATTCCTCGAGAACAGTCGTAATGCTCGCGTAATTAAACCATTACCAACGATATGCTTAGGTGAGTCAAACGCATGTCGCCGCTCGCGGCATAATAACGCCGTCCTTAGCTCGGGCGAGGGATTGAGGAAGACGAGGGAGGGCTCCGAAGTTCTGCATTCACGCGATTTCCGTCAACCTTGTCGTCTCAGCGTCCCACCTCCCCTAAATCTCGGGGATCTCGGGCGCCGAGAATCGGGTAGGAAGGGTAAGGTGGTACATCCCATAATCACATTATTACGTACCGCAACGGGCGCGACAAGTCTACCACACAGACGCCGGCAGAAATCGGGACAATGGACAGCCCCACACCGCCGCCGCCGGTCCCTTTCATCCCGGCAATTCTCGCCGGCGCGCTTTCATTCGGCTCCGATAGACAGGTGTACGCGCTCGATATTATCCCCGTCTCGATGCACCACTACACGCTGCAGCCGCGCCTATTTCCGCATTGTAAATTTCGTGCCGGCGGTTACGGTGCCATCGCCGTACGCGAGCCACGTCGAGGAAGCTGTGTCACGCGGCGCGTGATATCGGAGCAGCACGTTGTTCCATCTAATCTGCCCTATTGGCCGGCATTTGCGCGAGAGAAAGAGATAAGATAGCAGGAGTGATTATGCATCAGATGTGCAACGTGACTGCGTCGCGATGTTTCAGGGTATCAAAACAAGGAAATTATGCAGCTACTGGGTTAACAATTTCATGACACTTTCGTCAACATTAAAATTGAAATATATTTTATAATGCATCTTTCGCATTTATATAAATGTAATATATTCTACATTATAGAAAGAAAATATTATACGTGGAACAACCACACGAATAAGGTTTTATTATTTAAAACATGAATAATATCTCTTTTTTGTGTTTGATATTAACTAGAATTAATCAAGATACAACTTGTGTGTTTCAAAAAACAAAATATTTTAGATGCTATAAGAAAAGTTATTTTAAAATAGAATTGAGCTTTCTATATCTATTCCTAATATTTAATAATAGCAATTAATTTAATAAATAATGGTTTAATAACGATATCAAAATGGGTAATCCTGATTGGGATGAACAAAGATACGATACTGGGTATTACGTGGCCTTACGCTCAAAATATAAAGTGATTCCAAGATTATCGCGATTTGCAGCACAGTGTTTCGAGAATCGCTTTATAATTAATTCGTATTAAAATCTACAAAAAGACGAACGCGCGAAAAGGAGTACTCAAACGCATAGATTCATTACCATTTGGGTGTTCTTTGTCGTTGGGAGAGCTCGCCGGCCGCGGCCGCTTCTACGACCTGATAAATATTTAAAACTGTCTATAATTCCCTCCTTCCTGCGGTTCCTGAACGCTTCATGGCTTTTAATCTCACCGTTATTTCATATTCCAAGTTTAATCTGCCTTATCTTCCCAATCGAGGTGTTCATTGATTGGAATAAGCGATATAAATCCGCGAGAAGTTATCATCGTAGCGAAGTAGAAGAAATAAAATTTCTGTAGGGCAAAGAGAACTAATCGATATCACTGGAAAATGATGAAAAAAGAATTTATATGTGGATATTTTTTTAAATCAAAGGTAATATATTTGACTTGAATTCAATTGGAGATTAACAAGTAATAATTGTATATTAACGATTAATAGTGCAAAATAACCTGCATGCGCTTAACGCAAAACGGAGGTAACAAATAATTACACTTTCCTTCCGTTATCATATATATTGCTTCACCCTGGTTTACTTTATTAAGTTAATGACTTTCATGAGGCAATCTCTCAACTTGATGTCTTCAACCAGTAATGAGGAGTAAAGTAAGATTCTAACATTTTCGCTGATTTTATATTCTTCTAAGGACGTCCTTTATAATTCATAAAGTCGCGCATCGTTGGCTTAAGATAGCGTGATCAAAACTTAAAAATTTTTAAGAGACTGAAGCTCTAAAAACAGATTTCTTTATCGAAGCAACATCCTTCCTTTTTTATTTCCCAAAGTATACTTTTATTCAGTGGTAATTTAATTTAGGTTGCAGTTAAAACATTAAAATTGAAAATAAAAAAGCAGTAGGGAGAGATAAAATCTTCGGCAAAAGAAAACTCTTCCCAAAGGGGTCAAAGTCTGTGTCCGAAATACTTCATATAAATTACTCATGAAAGACACAGCAAAGAAATGATGCAATTTCGAGCGCATTGACTACTATCGGATATCCGCTTTCGGCTTTGCATGCGAAAAGCAACATTATCTGTTTCATCATTTCCTTCGTGTAACTTTGCGTAATGGATACCGCATAGACACTACGTTACATCCGTCAAAGGAAGGCGGAATAACGTTTGTTTTAATGAATACACCTTTCGCAAAGAAAGCGCATATCTTTTCACGTGTGAAAAGATTTTTTTTTCAATAGCAATGCACCGTCATAGATATGAAATGCAGCCGCGCATTTTTATACAAGTTTGAAGCGTCCGCTTTAAACTCAAAATTTTTAAAAAATCAATCGAAAGCTATTAAAATAATTGTTATTTACAAAAGGCTTTGAAAAAAAATATCATTTTTATAAAAAAAAACATATATATGTATAAAAATCGACAAAATTTTCAAAAAGAATTTGTTCATTTTGTACATGTTTTAAAGATGGCCAGGTAGCGATGCCCGCTTTACCGGAAACGTTTTGCTATCGTACATACATTGCGAAAATATGGAAACGCATGAAATCCAGGACTATAAATTTCACAATACGCGCCGTTGTAGTCACGGTATTAAATTTCGGTTACGCTATACCCGTATCGCAGATACGGCTCTCAATACACATATATACTAGCAAAAATCTGTTTATCCATTAAATTCCGCATATTCCACGTTCCGTTATCGCCCGGTCATTAGCATAATTAAATTGCATAAAGC